CTGGGTCCACACGTCTGGCTAGGGCTGCATGATTATACATGTACATCCCCGTTTCATTTAGGGCTGCTTAAAACCTTACCTGCCACTAAAGTGATTGCATTTCACAGCTAGCTAGACTGTGTGTACTTTAAGTCTCTTCAGAAGAATCACATAATAAATAAGCCAAATCCTAACACACACACACACATTCCATCTTTATGGAAAATGGCTGCTAATCCATGATCATTTTTTTCCAGAAACAGGTTTTATGATAATATAGTAAAAATATTAAATTAGAAAATGCCTCACTAAGGGTTATAAAACCTTACTACACTAGAGATAGGTAATTATCCCCTCTACAGCCTAAATGACAGTTTAAAAGAAATAAAAATGTTAGTGCTCATTACTTGCTTTTGTAGGTTGCAATAAAGGGTAAGTTAAATTTTAATTCAAGGAAGGGCCCCTGCCATCGACCTTCTACCTTAGGCCCAAGTCCTGTTAATTACTCTGTAGGTTATTCTCCTGCGTGGTACCAACAGTAATACGTTTCCTACAGTGGCCATTGAGACCAAGAGTGCGGAGGGGGAAGGGTAACAAAGGGGTAGACATTTCAGATCAGTGATTCAAATCTTGATTCTTAATGTGATAGGGAGCAGGAATTATGTTTTGTTTTGTTTTGTTTTAAAACAGTTCATTATGCATAGCCTTAAGGGGACCTCAAGTATTAAACTGTACACTTACCTGGAGAATCAGATGGAGACAAGGTCAACCTGAAGGACTGATAGTTCAGCTTCTTTGCATGGCTAAATCCCAGTTAGGAAGGATGCTGCAGGGGAAAATGTTCATGCAGTAGAGGCAGCCTGACATCAGTCCCCCAACGGGTTTTTGTAGTTGAGGTTTTAGCTTTAGCTTTGTTTTTCTTGGGATGGCGTAAGGGATGTGCATGTGTTTTGTTTCTTCTCAGATGTTTTCACCTTGCCTTAAGCATTGGCACCAGATCTACCACTTGTCTGTGTTTGGGAAAAGGCTCAGTGCTCCCTGCATCTCAGTCTTCATTCTAAGTGTGCAGACTTGCCAAGGAGAAAGTAGACACAGATAGTCTTAAGGAGTCAATATCCAGACATAGGCTCTTTCCTAAAATTGGTCTGCCGGGGAATACGAGGGTACTTCAAAAAGTTTGAAGAAAAATAGAATTGAAAGATAATAAGGATTCTTCTTGATTCTTCGTGAACATTTTGAAGTACCCTTGTATGCCTGTGCTAGAGGGGCTGGTTCTCCTTTCATCTCGCCTTTCAGGAATGTCTCTCCTGCTTGACATAGAGCCCACCTTGAGTCCATCCTTGATGTAACAGGGACCTTGCCCTGGAGTGGGAAAGCCTCCAGGGCACCAAACATAAGGACAGTTGGAAATATGGGTGCAGGGTTTGAGAAAGGAAATGCCCAAGGACTGAATAACAAATCCCTGCAGATCAGAGGGTTTCCAGGTCTTTATTTTCAACAAAGTTGCAGGAGAACATGAGTTTGGTTGTCAGCTGGTAGATATTAAACCTAATTTTTGGTGATCATTCACTGATATTTTTACTGTATAATTCAGAAAGAATTAAAACAATTGAGTAATATCACTGTGATCAGACTGTTCCATTCTTATCTACTTGTTTATGTGATGAGGTTTCTCAGAGCTTACATCTACAAAAAACAAAAAACAGGAATTGAATTGATGCTGAGCTCTCTTATTGTAGCCATAAATAATATTCATCCACGGATCCATCAACAAATGGGGGGAGCCACATAGATGTCACTGAGGCACATTTCCAATAATATTTTATGTATTTATGAATATTAAATTTTCACTAAAATTATAATACACTGTATTAGTGTGTATATCAATTATATCCTAATAATAATTTGTAATGATAACCCAATCCAGAAGAAAACGTTTTAATCATTTAGAGCCTTACTGTCTCCAGAAATTAAAATATTTTCATTTCCGTTTTTAAATCTCAAAAATTTCAAAAGTGTTTCCATTTACATACTTATTTTTGTGGCCAAGAAGTATACTAGGGTGATTAATAAAAGATTTTCAAGCATGAAACAATTATATTAGGACAAAAATCTGTAGGGAAAAGTCAGGTGAAAATACAAGTTTAAAAAGAAAAAGATGCTCTGAAATTTGCAAGTTAAAGAGTTTGCTTATAGTTATTTAAATGAATGATGATGGGTATTAAATCAATGTGACGTGCAGATTCCATGTGGTACATTACAAAAGGGATATAAGAGTTTTCTTTTAAAAGTTAATACTCAGAACATTCTGGTAATTGTATCTTTAGTGACTATTTAAATTTACTATGAACAACTTTATATGGCAACTTAAAATGTGTGAGGGGGTGGGCAGTTTTGTGCATGCCCAGAGGCTACGGGGCCATGGCCCAAGACTCCTCTGCTGGTCTGTGTGCCCCAGCACTGCTGCCATCACCCCGCAGGTGGAAAGTTCTGCCAGCCTGGATCCCTGGACAGGGAAGGTGAGGTCGAGCTGAGCAGTGGGGGTCTGGGAGGGTCTTCATCCTGGTGGCTCCTGGACCCTGGAGAGGGTCTGCTTTGCCTGTCTCTAGAGTTGGGCTGAGGGGAATGGCAAGAGGAGGAGAAGGGAGCAGAAGAGCCAGATAAGAGGCTGTCACCGTGTTCTTGGTGAGAGATGTCACCTCTGAAATAGTGGAGGCCTGGGGGGCAGCGAAGTTTGACGTGCTTTGAAGGTAAAAACACTACTGATTGGTGGTAATGGGTGAGGAAGATGTAAAAGTTGAAAATGCTTGGGAATGTTTAGATTGGAATAATCCCTGATTCATATTTCTTTCTGTCTTTCTCTCTCTCTCTCTAAAAATATTTTAAGAAACCAGACCACTTGGCTTTCCAAGTTGCTTTGCCATGAACAGCTGCATATGTTTGTTAGCTTTGCCCACCTGAGTGTGAAATGATGTTCTATCAAAACATGGGTTTCAGCATTTCACTTTCTGCTCCTGACATGTGAACCCTGCTGCGGACAGTAACTGCTGCCCTCAGCCCAGGCGTTCCAGCGAGATTGCAGCACCGAGTGGAAGCATTTACTGGCTGGTAATGACGGGGTCTGGTGCACGCGAGCAAGGCGAGGTGGAAAGGGTGTGATTGTGAAGGGCTAAGTAGCGCTGTGCTTCTGCATCCCTCATCAGATGGCGGCATCTTAAAGTCATACTGTCTTTTTTGTCATGCAACTCTCCCTGTAATGCCATTTAATTTTTTTGTGGAAATGGCAGAGAGACTTGCAGTTACTGGCAGATAGGCAGGCCGTAGTATGATAACGTGAAGGCTGGGTAGGCGTTGCAGTTTAGGTGCCTGTGTGTGATGGAGCTGGGGATTTGGAAGCAGCTGCTTTTGGAAGTGAGGCTGCCCGCCGCTCATTTGCATTTGGGCTGAGGCTGCCTTCCACCTTTGTGGGGCTTGTCTGGGCTGGTTGACGGCAAGTCAGACAGATGTATACAGCAGAGGAACAAAAGGAGCTTGGGGTGAACTGCATCCTTTGTCTGCAGGCCTAGGGGGCTGGTTGGTAGTTCAGGGTGAGGGTGCCAGAAAATTCTTGCAATAACATTTCTTTAATAAAATTGGAGGCCCAGTGTTTTCTGGCCTTCACTTTCTTTGCCTGTCTGTCCTGTGTCCCCAGTATGATAAGACTAGTTTACATTTTTGACTTATGCAGTTTCTTTAAGATTTTTAATTTTTACTTTTTTAAAGCTTTGATATGCTGTTCCAGTTGCTGGATTTTCTAATTATAGTGTAGTACCTGTATTCCTATCTACAACTATAGCAGGGTGACTACAAAAAAAGACTGATCAGTTTTTGTGTTGAAGTCTTGCTGAACCAAAATATAGCTCTTTGAAAGGTGGGGTTTTTTTGGTTTTTTTTTTAAAGTCAGATTTGCTGAAGATGGCTCTCAGATGAGAGTAATTTTAAAAGCTTGTTTCCTTAGCAAGGATGGCAGCCTATATTTTTGTTAGATCTTAAAAATGTCAGAGCAGGTATAGCTTTCTTCTGGGGTTGTCGACTGCCTGGCTGTTACCTCGGCCCCGCGTGTGCCTGCCCTCCTTTCCTGGGTGCTGGTGGCTGGAGCTCATGCAGGGTGTAGGCAAGGATTGCCTGCTCCACTGGTGAGTCCTCCATGGCCCTCCTCCCTGGCGTCAGGGGCGTTCTCCCACGTCTGACCCTCGTGGAGCCCCGAGGTTCCTCATGTCTCTGCTGGGACGACTTGGTCTGTATTCACAAGGGACACTGTTCTGGAGCTTCTGTCACAACAACAGGAAGGATTCCTCCCCCCCCCCTTCCCCCTTTAGATTTTCCAGGCCTCGGCAGATAGCTTTGGCCAGATGTTTGTGTGTATGTTGAATTTAATAGCAGGAACAGAGGTTGTAAGTGATCATTTATTTTCAGGAACCCAAGACCCTGGCATGTTATGATTTTTTTTTTTTAATGTCAAAACTCTAGAGTTAAATTAGCCAATCAAATTATTCATTAGACTGAGACTAAAGAGGGCTGGGGAGTGGGGAAGAACCCTGGTTCTACTCCTGAACAGCCGGACATATGAGAGTAATTGGAATCTTGTTGCTGGGTCATTTTCATTGTTTTTCAAGTACTGCCAAGTCCAAGAAAATGTATGAAAACTAAATTATATCCCCCTACATCCGATGTCTGATTGAATCGTCCTCATCGTATGGCAGTCTCATACATCCTAAAGGGCAAACTTATAGAAAACTCATTCCCTAGAGACAGGGTATCCAGCCACACTGGACTATTTACATATTTTACTATTTGATTGGCTGCTTCTGGATTTCTTTTTCCATCATATTTGTGAGTAAGAGCTGTGAGATGCATTTTTAATTACACGGCTGTGTGTTCAGTTGAAGAAACAGATTGGGGTATTTCCCCGCTTCTTAGTTTATTTTTAACCTTGAGAAGTTAACCAGTTTGTTAACCAATTTGTTTTGTTTGTCTTCTAGGACAGAGTTGTATCGATCTCTTTTTGGCCAACTCAACCCTTCTGCAGGGCATCAGGATTGACCTGGCACCACTCTTGCTGCAGGCCTTGAGGCAGGGCCTCCCAGCACCTAGCGGCGCCGTGGCCAGTTTGGCTGCTTGTCCAGATGGAGGAAACTATTGACTATATAGGGCTGAACTAGCAGGGAAATGCGTGGGAAGGTGCTGTGTTCAGAACATGTACCTAATACATGCAAGGACACTGCCCTCCACGTCCTTTCCCCATCACAAATAAAGAGTATTGTTACTGCCACCTCTGCGTGTGATTTCTTAAGCGTCACAGAGAAAGTCTGATTTAGAGCTCTAGCAGGTTGAGGCATTTGTTGGGAGGGTTTTCATTTTTTTCCTAATCAAATGGCCTCCTCGTACGATATAAAACTTTACATTTTCTTTATTTATCCATTTATGGACACCTCGGTTGATTCCATATCTTGGCTACTGTGAATAATGCTGCGGTGAACATGGGAGTGTAGGTGTCCTTACAACGTATCGATTTCATTTCCTTTGGGTATATACCCAGAAGTGGGGTTGCTAGATCATGTGGTGGTTCTTTTTTGGTTTTTTTAAGGAGCCTCCGTATGGCTGTACAAATTTACATCTCCGTCAGCAGTGTGCAAGGGCTCCCTCTTCTCTGCCTCCTGGCTGACGCTTGCTGTCCTTCGTCTGGCTGATCTAGCTGTGCTAACAGGTTTGTGTGATGCCTCACTGTGGTTTTAATTTGCTTTTCTCTAATGAGTAGTGATCCTGAGCATTTTTATATGAACCTGTTGGCCATTTGTGTGTCCTCTTTTGAGAAATGTCTGTTCAGGTCCTTTGCCCATTTTTTAAACTGGTTATTTGTTTTCTTGCTATTGAGTTGTTCCTTTTATATGGACGGACAGATGGAGAAAATGTGGTATGTGTGTACAATGGGTACTATTCATCATTAAAAAAGAAAATTCTGGGGGCCGGCCCGGTGGCGCACTGCTACAGTGCGCCGCTTGGGAGCGCTGCGGCGCTCCCGCCAAGGGTTCGGATCCCACATACAGACCGGTTCTGCTCACTGGCTGAGCGAGGTGCGGGCGCAACGCCGAGGGCTGCTATCCCGTTGCCGGTCCCGGTCCGGTATGGGCGCAACACTGAGGGTTGCGATCCGTTGCCGGTCACGAAAAAAGACAAAAAAAAGAAAATTCTGTCATTCACAACAACGTGGATGAACCTGGAGGACGTTATGCCAAGTGAAATAAGCCAGGCACAGAAAGACAAACACCATATGACTTCACATGAGAGTACTTCAGAAAGTTCGTGGTAAAATAGAATTGAAAGATAATACAAATCTTTCTATGAACTTTTTGAAGTACCCTCGTACGTAGAATCTAAAATAGACTCAGGGGCAGCCCGTGGCTCACTCGGGAGAGTGCGGTGCTGGTAACACCAAGGCCACAGGTTCGGATCCCATATAGGGATGGCCGGTTAGCTCACTTGGGAGAACCTGGTGCTGACAACACCAAGTCAAAAAAATAAAAAATAGTCAAACTCATGGAAGTAGAGAATAGTGATGGTTACCAAGGCTGGGGTGGGGAGGAACAGACAGGGCGTGTTGGTCAAAGGGCACAAAGTTTCCGTTGGGCAGGGGAATAAATTGAGATGTGCTGCACAGCAGGGTGGCTACAGTCAATAATAATGTATGTTTCATTATAACTTAGTAGACCCCCGTGCCAGCCAGCTGCCAAAAAACCAGTAAATTTCAAATGTCTCACTGTAAGAAATGATGAGCAAGGGAGGTAATGGATATGTTAATTTGCTTAATTTAGTCATTCTGTATTGTACCCCATAAATGTATGGAATTACGATTTGTCAATTTAAAATAGTGGTTTTTTAAAAAACTTCACAGAAGGAATCGTTCTGGGGCAGGATGCTGTTTTCTGAGTGGATAATATTCACTGGTTTATCATGGCTTTAAGGAACAGGGAATCTCAAAAAACTTATTTAAAAAAAAAAAACCCAGGAGACTGTGTAACTTGGAGGTATTTGCATATTTGTCCCTAAATACAGATCTCTGGCTTCTCTGTTTCTTCTTTTCACCTGTAAAGATTCTTCCAGAGTCCTTTTCCGTTCTCATCTTTCCTAAATCACTTTTTTGAGATTAGCCCTGGTGTAAATCTAGCAGGAGGAAGGAGTTGATTCACTTGTTTTTTATCCAAAGGTCAAAAGCTGGAAGTTAAATCCCCATAAGCGGGATTTATCGGCCTGCTGTGGTCAACATGCAATGGAAATTATCTTGCATAAGTAACGTGTGCGTGTGGGGCGCCAGCTACAGGACTGACCGGCTCAGTGCTCCTTTGCCCAAATCTTTATTTATAGCTATAGAATTAGAGAAGAAATGTTGAATCTAGGCAACTGAATGCAGTTGTACTTGTTTTTATAGTTAGATTTTGATATGGTTTTAAAATGTCAAAATCAAAGTGACAGATTTTTGTGCCTAGGAATCCTGTGTGTCATAGACTTGATGTCTGGGGATTGCTGCATGGTGCCTAAAAGCTGGACTCCCAGTGAAGTGAGTTCTGACATAACCTGCAACATGGTTTAGTTTTAACATAAATGTGTCTGCTGAGCTCAGGATGGGCAAATAGGAGCAGGAGGGTTTTTCCATCTCATATTAATTGGTGATTTGGTTTTTTTCCTCAGCAGTTACCTCTCAGGCTTGACTGTCAGGGAAATGTTTAATTTTCATTGTGTTTCCAGTTACCCAAAAGATCAATCAGTAGAAATAGGAGAGTTCCCTCACATTCACCCCTTTCAAAATGATCACTTTTTAAAAATACGGAGCATCCCATCCTGTCCATCTAGCCTGAGGATTCCAAATAATGCACAGTAGAGCAGCAAGGAAGTGACCTTAACACTGAACTTTCTGTGAGCCTGATGCTAACCTATGTTTCCTAAACACACAGAACCTTTGTTGTAGTCACCCTGTCTGATAACAAATTTAAATGGGTACTTCAAAATATTTGGAGCCCAGCAAGTTTAAAATGAGTTAAAAACAGGAGATGAGAAAGAAGAAACTGACAGAATTTTCACTAAAGGGAGACTTGCATTTTAAAATTCAGAAGACCACCCTCCTTCCAGCCAAGAATAAATTGGAAACTATTTTAATTGACATGGATACTGCAATTCAACTGTTACTAGAAAGACAGATTAGTTGATTGATTTGCATTTTAATAAAACTAATACTTTACATTTTGGTAGCTAATGCTGATTTTTAAATGAGTTGAGACAGTTATCAAGAGTTTCAATCCAGAGCCCTTTTTCAGTGTTGACTGAAGCATTCCTCTCTTTTGTGTGGAGTTTGCTTATTTTATTTTTGCCCAGCTGACTGCTTCACACACGACACTCGTAAACCATAGACCTTGACGATCTCTCCAGTACAGTAAGGCAGAGCTAGCCACAGTGGCAACGGGGCAGTGCCCCACCTGGCCCAGGTTTGCTCAGACATGGGAGTTGGGAAGGCTGCACTGGGCCTCTTCCTTTAGGATGAAGAAGATGGTAAGGCTGGTTTCTTGTCTTATGTCATTTTTACTTTAAAAATTCATTACAGAAAAGTGGAAGGAACAAATAAAAATAAGACTCAGCTGTAATCCCGCCACCCAGAAATAACTGCTTATTATTAACATTTCGGTACTTCATAGTCCTCTCGCATGAAGAGGTACAGTCTTATGGAATAGCCCCCGTGATTCTCAACGGGAGAGAAGCCAGGGAGCAGACAGGGTAGAAGATTTGGTTTTTACTTTTGGATTGTCTGTTTGAAATTTTTTTACTTATCCTTTCATTTAAAAACAATGGAAACAAAATACTCAGGCAGCCACGTCTACCACCCCTACTTCCCTTCTCCACAGTACACATATGTACTGCCAGTTGAGAACCAGTGATACACAGTTGTCTGCATTTTATTTTACTTTATTTTTTTGGCAGCTGACCGGTATGGGGATCTGAAACCTTGACCTTGATGTTATAACACCACGCTCTAACCAATTGAGTAACCAGCCAGCCCTGTATTTTGCATTTGAATATCAATAGTTCAGTAAAAGATTATTTCCATGTCTTTACAGATGTCAAATTTTAATTGCTAGCTAACAATTCCGTTTGGGGCATATATCGTCAATATATCGTCAATATTTCGTCAATATTTAACCAAATCTGTTGTTGGACATTTAAATTGTTTCCAGATTTTTGCTATTATGAATAATGTTGCAGGAAAATATTGGTGCATGAAGTTTGTTTATTGTTTTTTGAAACTTTTGTTTTTCTTGGCATATATTTTTAAGAGTAAAGTGAACCAAGTAAGAGAGTTGAAATACTATTTTTAAGTCTCTTGGTACATATTATGGAGGCTCGTTTTAGGGCCCTCGTCCACTTCTCAGTTGCCTACACTGGGCCCTCTTCAACAAAGGGTGTCAAGAAGCAGAGAAGAGACTGGCCCAGGAGTTTGATCTTTGGGTTCATTTCATGCTCCCCAGGGAACCCTTCAAATCAGCATCCTCCTCTGGGAGGATTAAAGAGCTGCTGCCTGTAATGTGCTTTGAGTTTCTCCAATAAAAGATGGTAGATAAATAGAAAGTGACATCATCATCTCCCACCCTGGCCCCCTATCCTTTTTCTGGCCACTAGATTGCATATAATTTGCTCACCACTCTTGCCTCTCGTCTTCACACTCTTGCTACTTTCAATGCCTTCACCCTGGGGATCTCCCAGGCAGGTTTTCCTTGCCTTGTATGGGTTTGAGTTCCTTCCAGCTGCTCTATATTTTGCTTTTGGTGTGTGTCCATTTCTCTCCAGGGACACTACCCAAGACCTTTTATTGAGCATCATTTGGAAACCCTGAGTGTCAATAGAAGATCCTGGGGAAAGCCAGCTCCGTCCAGTCCAGTAACAAACTGCATCTCCAGTTTAGGAAAATGGTCTCCTTCTGGAGGTTGATTTTCCTGGTCTCCACATGCATTGCTGAAACCTTTCCAAGATTATTGCCTCTTTACCTCTTACCATTCCACCCAAAGGGAGCTGAGCTGGAGGCTCAGAATTAATCCAAATGTGATATTCATTATAAACCTTGGTACCATTCCCCAGGACAAAGCAGTCACTCTGTATATGGAATGTGTTAACGCTAAGATTCATATCTCCCCTGGGCCAGCCAGACTCACAAATGAGGTAGTTCATGCCTCAGCAAAACTCTACAGACAAGTAGATGGAAAGAATGTCAGGAAGGAGCCTGAGGCTGCA